ACGTCGTCGTATAGGTAGTACTACACTACCTACTAGTGTCGTACCTTAAACGTAAGTTACTACGGTAGGAGGTTAGGTAGGGTACCGACAAACTTAATAACTAACTATACAGTCTCTCTCTCTCTCTCTCTCTCTCTCTCTCTCTCTCTCTAGCTAGAGAGAGAGGGAAGATAGGATGGGATGAGAGAGAGGACATTGGAGGTTTTGGCCATTGAGAGTGAACGGGTAGGTCATTTAAGGCGCTTGTGTGTGATATGAATGAGAGAGTTTCAGGTGAGTAGGCTTTGGCTTCATGATGGAAAACTGATGAGAAAAAATATCTTTTAGGGTGAAGGCATGGAGATAAATTTCTCCATTTTGGGCTCACAATAGAGAAAACCATTTTCGCCAAAAAAAAATCTGTCCTAGGTTTTGGATCCAACCAATGGAAATAGATCATTTCTCTGGAAAACCATTTCTTGGTAATCTTCTTCCAGGGATCCAAACCCTTAGGAAAATTTTAAACAGAAATTCTTAGCTTCCGTTGCATTAAATGGTATATCTATTCCTTTTTTTGAGAAATGTTAACTTTGTATAAGTGGTTAAGTAATTACAAGAGGATTAGTCGATGGGTGGCATCCCACAAACTGGATGCGCAGACTTACAAAAAAAATATAGGAAGTATAAATGATGGCAAAATGTTTGACAAAGAAGATGGGGGAATTTGGGGTGTGCAGAAGAGGGGATAGGGAGTAGTAAACTTAATATAAAGTCTTTTACAAGGCATATAAAACCTAAAACCCGAAAGTGAAGCCAAAGGTGAGAGGGGGGAGGCTTTTTGTCAACTTGCTTGGAACTTAATGTGTGCGAGGACCAGCGAGCAGTGGACTGATGGTGGTTACAGTGGAAGGAGAGTCCTTATATGGTTGAGCAAATCAAGGTTTCAAAAAATGCTAGGTGGCCGGCTTGGCGCCCAGAACCTCGGGCGCCTTGTAGTACAAATTTTTAAGATATATACATATATTTGCTATCCAAACGCACATATGTGCATATAGTTTTGTCAATTTTGTAATTTATTGCATTTGAAAATATTGTAACATACATTTTTATAACAAACATATGACATATCAGCATATCACATGTTGAAAATAAACTTGTTCAAAATTTCAAAATTCAAACCATACAAAACATTTAAAAGTCTAATAGGCGATGTAAGAGGAATATTTAGATAGTCTCCAACTCTCCAATTCTCCAGATTCCATATCCATAAAATAAAGCATAATAAGATTCAAGTCTCCAATTCTCCAAGTCTTCAACAAATTGATTTTGAAAAGTATAAAACCACACTACAAAATAGTCCAAAAAGGCAAAAAAAAGTTTGTCTAACATCCAAAATCCAAATGTCTACGGCGCAAACCAAAATGGTGCTATAAAGATATTTACAAAAGAAGAGAGAGGACATCAATAAGAATCATAATCATCATCGTTATTATACTATCTTGGGGGTCAAAATGACCCCTTTTGCCCTTTTGGGCTACTTGAAAAAACAAAAAAGGGCTACGGCCTTGGGCACCCGCCTAGGCGCTTGCCCTGGTACATCTGCCCGTGTTGGGCCACCGGGGTGTGGGCGAGTAGTGGTTATGGTCTAGGGTGCCTAGGCACCGGGTGGAACGTTTTTTGAAACACTAGAGAAAATAGCTGTTGGCAACTGGATCTATAAGCTATGACTTTGATGTGCGTTGTCGCCTGATCTTGAGTGACATCAATCCTTAGCAGCAGCAAATTAGCACAACAGAGATGAAATCCTAGAGAGATGGTGAAGGGAAGAGGGGGGGTCTCAGAGATTCGAGGGGCAGCAACATCAGTGCAACGTTTCATTAGAATGAGTGATAGATGAGGAAAGAACATGGAGTACCCCTAGACAGGAGGAGAAAAGAGGAAAGAGGAGATTAGAATTACATCAGGGGTGAGGTTGAGAAAACAGAGAGACTGAGATGAGGAGGGGGGTGAGAGAGTAGAAAAGGACAGGGTACTCTAGACAGATGAAAGAGAGAGAACTGTGGGAGAGGCTTAGAAATAGAGTAGAGGAGGAGAAGAGAAGGGGTGAGAAGTAAGAGAGAGGCCCCATAACAGACGAAGACAAGAACAGAGAAAAGGTGAGAAGAGGAAGGGGTGTGGAGGGGGAAACAGGAAAAATGCCTAAACAAGAGAACTTAAGAGGGGCAAAGTTTAAAAAGAAGACAAGGTAAGAATGTAGAGTAGAGCAGTGAAATGGGAGAAGGTTTTCCTTTTTTTCCCTTTCTTTTTTTCCTTCTCCCTTTCTTTTTTTTTCTTCTTTTTCATTTTTTTTTTTTTGTGGGGGTGGGGGGGAGGGGAGAGTAGGAGAGAGAGCGAGATGATATAAAGATATTAAGATGAGAGAGAGAGGGGGAAGATTCAAGGGGAAATGAGTGTACCTGTGCCCCGTGAAGCTTCTCTTTTTGCCAAACGATCGGCCTCTGAGTTGGTCTCCCAAAATATGAGTTTGAAGCGAACTTGTGGAAGAGTGTTGT